TTCAGCGAAAAATTGTCATGAGACGGTGAGCTGCAGCAGATGCCAGAGAAGGAATCATGTGACATCAATGGGCAGGAATTCAACAACGGCGGTCAGCTGTGCTGAGAGCAGTCTGTTGGCAGCCACGACGAAAAGCTGTATGACCGTTCAGGCGTTCGCAATCGGTACCACAGGCGAGAAGCGCGAGGTTCGGATCCTGTTCGATCACGCGTCGGAAATGTCGTTCATAACAACACGACTGGTAGAGGCACTCCGGATCGGCCTGACGAACAAACCGAAGAGTCGTATGACGGTAACCATGTTCAAGAGAGAAGTGACGGAGGCTGAAACAAGGAAGGTAGAACTCAGGCTCCAAAGTCTACAACTTCCAGCACCAAAGCTCTGGATAACGAGTCAGACAGTGGATGAATTGTGCGATCAATTTAAACCAAGGGTGGACCAGGAAGTGAAAGAGAAACTCCGACGAATGAAGATCGAGTTGGCTGATGATCCAGACACCGAGAACCCAATCGACATACTCATCGGCTTGGACCACCAGGTAGAGTTCCTGACTCACAACGCCACCCGGCTTTCGAAAAATCTCGAGGTCGTGGAAACAGCTCTAAAATGGACGCTGTTTGGATGTAAGAGCGGAGCACTCGACGGTACTACATACCTCAATAACTTCGTGGGCAGGGCTTCGATTAGTCCGAATACGTCCTGTTGCGTCCGGCTCGAACGGTTTTCGGTCGAACCACGAAATGCTCGCTTAAGGCCTGAATTTTTTCCCATGGAATCAAGGGCGATCAGTCGGAGGATAGCATGCCGGACGACCTCATGTACTCCTAGGTAGACTACCGTTCATTCGAAGACTTCACGGTCTCAGAATTGCGGCTCGAACCGATCTCGTTTCAGTGGTCGCGCGACGAAATCATTCCCGATGCGAGGAGTCGCGCCGAGAGATCCATGATAAACTTGAGCAATTCGTTCCCAAGATCGACGTCGGAGCATCAGACATAAGTTTCTCAGAATTCCTTCTGAGGAGTCCCAAACTGAGATCGGACCTCGATTGAATATCGCGTTCCGCAGTCACACCCGCCGCCATGAGAGGATTCGGATTCGGATATATTCTAATTGAAGCACCCAGATTTTCCGGAGGGCTTCTGCTCGGAGGCCGCAACGCTCATGCCGTTATATTTCAAGAACTCCGCCTACTCATCTCCCTGGAGATTTTGGTTGATGGTTTTGTGATATTCAAGCATCAAAACTGAAGAGGTGTGCATTGAGGTGCCCACGACCCGTAAGGCAGGTCTTATGAAGCCGAGTCGATTCTCATCGAAATGATGTAACTATCTTTCTCTGCCAGAAACTTCATGTATCTCAGGATACAGGTCCTTCTGGGTAGACTCGAGAAACGGAAGACAATTTTCGGAGGAAGGTCACGGCGGGCACGCCAGTACTCCACGTGAATATAACACCAAACATGGAAAAAGCACCCGTCTGTGTCATCTGTCGCTCTCTTCCCCGGAGGGAAGCCAGATCCAGACGCTCGACAGCCTTGAGAAACTTTTCGACGTCACTCAAGCGTCGGCGTCGCCGCCGTCAGAGGCAACTCGCGGATGTTGCCGAGACGATTCTGCGCAGAGCTTGCGCAGCATCGCTGCAAAATGATCTGTCGTATTGCTCGAGATTTGCGGCGGTAGTAGTAGTTCGAGTTTCCCTTCGACGTGTATTCTCGGTTTTCCCTGCAGGAACCCTCAAGGTGTTCCTCGAGAGTCTGAGCTCGTGACTCAGTCAGACGATTCTGAACAAGTGACCAGGGACGAATTCCATGTATCCGATAGAGAGTTGAGACGGAATTCTCCTCCCTGAGCCCACGACTCTTGGGTACGGTAAATCGTGAAAGATACCGTTTCACCACAAGGAGCGAATGATGACGCCCGGAACATCCCCCCCCTTTTTGCTTGGGTGGGGTAAAGCATCAGAGGACACAGAGTTTTTGGCTTTCTTCTGGCGAAACTCTCACATGAAGTACTCCTGCGCCAGCCTTGCATTCGGCGAAGCGAAGGACCACTAGAAAAGCTTCAATGCTCCCGTGAAATCAAGCGTGAAAGTAGATAGAATTACAGCTGCTCATACGAAAATCAAACGCCACCAGCCCTCTGAGCTTCGTCGTGAGATTCTCTGTCGATTCCATCTCCCCAACCTTGATTAATTCACGATCCCAAACTGCGCGTCCATATCTCTATGGTTTATGGTTTATTCGGATCTGATTTTTGTGTATATTACACGATCAGCCTTTCACTTCAGGCGCGAGTTTCTCAGCGGATCCTTTTCTTCTTTCGCGATCCCATGCTCCTAGGAGACGCTTCGTTTCGTGCACCAATGCTGGATTCAGCTCCTTGCTTAGGCCGAGGCGAGCGGCGAGGTCCTCATTGGTGTGGTAGAACTCATTGCATTTGAAGATCACGTGTGCCAGTGTTTCAGGATGAACTCCACATCTTTCACAGTAGTTGTCGGAGGCAGTGAGGAATATGTTGAAGCATTTTGTTGGTAGGATTCCAGCTCTTGCAAGAGCCAGCAAAGCAGATCCTCTGCTATTGTCGTATGTGTGCGTGGCAGTTGTTCTGGACTCCTTGTGGGTTCGGTACATCTCGAGGGTCGATTTCCCTGCCATGCCTTCCTCCCAGGCCTTGTCTTGCATGGTCTTCACTTTCTCGGCTAGTCTCCGATAGTAGACTCCAAGGAGTGCTCCTCTTTCCTCATCGTGTTCGACCGTCAGTGTGTCGCAGTCGAACTTGGATCGGAGAGCCTCCATCTTCTCGTAGGCCTTCGTTCGTATTTTCTGCAGATCCATTGCGTTCAGCATCATCTTGGGCCATCGTGAATCTGGCATAGATTGGATTCTTGCAAAATATCTGAGCTTACTCTTGGCCTCCCTTTCTTCGAAGGAGCTCCAGTTTAGTTCGGATGATAGAAACTCGTTCGCAACTCTCCATCCGGTTATGCTCAGAGCCCATCGAGCTGCCTCTCGCTGGGCTTTTTCTAACGCTTCAGCGGTCTTTGCAGTCATTGTCGTGACAGCATTGCCATAGGTTAGCTTCGGGACAGCGACGCCTTTCCAGTAAGCTCTGGACATTTCAAACTTGTGGAATCCCCAGAGAATCTGGGCGTGCATCTGGTGAAGAGTTTTCTTCGCCATCATTTCCAACTTCTCTTCGTGTTTCGAGAGATAGTTCTGCTCGTCACTCAATGTTATCCCGAGGTAGGTGTATTCGTGACTCACCGGCAGTACTTTACCCTGTACTTGCAGCCTGCTGCTGTCGCCGATTGAGTGATTCGAGAATACAACCACTGCACTCTTCTTCGGATTGAATGTTAATTGCCTCGTTCTTCCGAATGCAGAGGTTATCACCAATAGCTCCTGAAGTTCCTTACAGTTGTGAGCCATCAATACTAGATCGTCCGCAAAGAGGAGTCCTGGTATTGTGTGGTGATTGACTCTTCTCGTTGTCCCTTCGTACTGGACGCCGACCACAGCGGAAAAAGCGCTCTCAAGAATTTGATATCGGGTCAATAGAATTGAATATGTGTAGCTGCAACTCGCTTCAGATTGCATTTCGCAGAATCCCTCGGAACGTTGTGGGAGAGTGTGGTCCTGCGAACGAGCAAAGTTCTGAGCCATCATCTTCTACGGTCTCTCGTGCTCATTTCAATTATTGTTACGATAGGGAGCTTGCGGGTCTCCCGTCGGGGAGACTAGAAGAAGGACATCAAGAGGAAAATCATCAATCTAACTGGAAAAGCCGCCTCGGTTCCGTGAACTATCCGACCATCCCAGAGAGAGCTTGGCTCTGATTCCTGTTGCCCACAGACATCGGGTATTGGTATCTGGGTAGGGAGGCGATGTAGACTGGTACTCATCCTATAGGGCACGTACGCGGCAGCGATCGACGCTGTAGCTGAATACTCGCCGACAACCGTAGCCGCAGACAATACCGGCTGGTCGGCACAACGCGGATAGGACTGAGGCTCGGAATGCCCACCATATACAAGAGGGAATCTAGTTCTGCCTCTACGTAAATTAACAATGACGAGGAATTGAAAGAATTGCTGGAACGTGGGCGACCTACGCTCCGCATAATTTATTTCTCGCCCCGCATCAGACTCTTCTACTATGCCCCCTCCTGAGTCTGAAGCGGATCACACGGGCCGCCTCTTGTCAGCCAACTCGACCGGTATCTGTAGACAGCGAAATCTTATCACCAATCGGGGCTGATCACTTGGTAGATCAATCGTATGAATCATACGGTGCCCATGAGAAATCGGTACTACCTCAGAGGCCCGAATCGCGTGAGCCAGAATCGTAGGAGTCAGAATCGCAACAGCCAGAATTCTCATGAGCCGGAATTCTCATGAGTCATGAATCATTAGCTACAATCCCCATAGCCCGGGATGGATCGACGCCCGATCGCCGCCATCCAATGCGCAACGAACCTCCCTTAGCTCAGGTGTGGACTCGCGCGCGAAGTTTCGCTCTAGCGCTGTTCAGGGGTCTTAGTTAGAGGAGCCGGAACAACGCACAGACACAGGTCGCTGCAGGTTGCAGCTAATAAGCAAGGCTGTCTTGTTCCATGAGCGGCGATGTTGAGTGGACACTATGCGCATGAGCTCGGTGGTGTTTCTCAAGAGAGGGAGAGCAGGGTGAAAAAGTCGATCACTTTTCGAAGTTCGGTAGTCTCTACGGACAGGTTGATCACGAAAGCTTCGTCCGCCAATTGTTGTATGTGTTTCCCCAATATTTTTGTGAAAACTCTGTACAGGACGTCAGATACACAGATCGGTCTGTAAGTGGTGAGATCGCCCTTAACCGAATTCGGTTCTTCAAGTAGAGCGACTCTCCCTTTCCTCCACCCCGCCGGCAATTCATGTGTGCCCCTGAGGATCTGGTTGAATATTTCCGATATGTATTCATATCCGGTATCATCCAGTGCTTTGAGGATCTTTGCCGGTATTTCGTCTGGTCCTTTGGCGGAGTGTCCGGATATTTTCACCAAAGTGGCTTCAATCTCCGCGCCCGATGTGACCAAATTAACCGGCGGTCTAGAGAGAAGATTATGCATGGGCGGCTCTGTGTTGCCGTCTGCATCCAGCAGGGTCGTCGCTACTCGAGTGAGATGAGCCGTCATTTCCAAGGATTGGATTTCGTGGCCATTCTCATTTACTACTCGTAGCCTTGCTGGGTCCTTTCTCTCTGTTTTTCTAGCGTATTCCCAAAGTGCCCGGGATCTGGCTTGTCTGGGAGCATCCATATTCTGATCGTACATTTTCCGATCTCGGAGGTGGAGCTGTCTGGCTACCTCGGCACTTACTGCGTCTTGCGCAGTTCTGTATCGCTGTCTCGCCTCGTCTACGCCCACTCCGGCGTGTCTCGCTCGTCTCCATTCACGATTCAACGCTCGCCTGTTACTCGTCAGTCGCGATATTTCAGGCACCAGCATTTTTTTGTTCGTGTTTAGGTGGATGAGTTTCGTATCATGGGCTATTGCGGTTTGGAGGGTGTTTATCAGGTTACCATAACTAACCGATCCTGTTGGTCTGATTAGGTTTTTTATGTTCTCTGACGCTTCTTCTGCCGCTTTTATCTCCCTTAATATCCTCACTCGCATCTTCCTTGGTCGTTCAATGTTCCTCTTTCCGCCTATATTGACAGTAATGAGGTTATGATCGCTCCAAGAAAGGATTTCTTTTTCTTCGTCTATGTTCATGCTGGTCACCTCTCTAGTATGTCGAGGCGTTGCACAGTACATAGTTGATCGCGGATGAATGGCCGCCCTGCGTTCGGGTGATCCTTCCTCTGCATTTCTCGGACAGGTTCATGATGGTGAAGGAGCTTGCCCCGTCCGTCCGTCCTCCCATCTAACTGAGTGATATGGGCGTTCATATCACTCATATACCCCTATTACTAGTCGGTTGTCTTTCGTAACTTTGCTCCGAATGACTTCTCCAATTTCTTGGAGTTGCTTTCGATTTGAGTCCAAGTCACCGATAGCGGCGTAGAGTGAGATGATTATCCACGATTGGCCGGCTATCTCACAGTTTATAGCAACGAAGTCCGTCCCTGTTAGGGTCCAGCTCACCTCACCTATGGAACTTCGCATGAGTATGCCACTTCCCCCGGAGGATTTGTTGCCGGACGGTCCGGTTCGATTGTTCCCATAGAATGACAAGCCCCTTTTTTGCGGTGGTTTTTCGTCATTCATCATATGTGTTTCTGAGAGCAGAAGAATATCAAACATTTTTGATGTTTCTCTGGATCCGATTTCGAGTAAATCCTTGGACAGACACTCCCATTTCGTTTCGTTTTTCCCCCCTTGCATATTGAAAACACCAAGTTTTAATAAAGGGAATTTCACTTTATTTCCATCATGCACCTCGGTGTTTTCGGGGGGTTCTAATCGTTATGATGGTTTTCGTAGGGCCTTCTCGAGGAGATTCGCAAGTTCTTTCTTGCTCTCTTCTCTCGCCCCCCTTCTTCTTAGGGGTGGAGGTCCTTGGAGGATTTTCCTTCTTCCGCCCCACAGAAGTCGATAGGGGACCGGCTCCTTTGGATGGCGTCCGCTTGGGCTTGCGTTTTGGCCCTTCTCGGGCTCTCGCCGCCCTATGTTCGCCCGAGTCCATCGAGATGTCGCCAGCGGGTCGTTTTTGGGCGATTCCCGGAGGATTCGCCTTTTTCGCCTGCTTTTGACCAGGCTCGGGTGCGGACTTCGCAGGGGGTTCGGTGGTCTCGATTGGACCCCGGATGTCGACGGCAGGTTCGAGACCTGCTGACTTTTTTGGGAGTCTTTATCCCGTGTATCAGCTTTCTCTTCTGCTGTTGACCCCCCCAGCTTTTTCGCGCTTTCGGCAAGACACTGGTCGATATCGGCAGGTGATAATTGAAGGCCTTCACCAAGTCGGCGAGATAGCCTAATCCTCGCCTCTAACTTCCCAGCTTTGTTCCAGCCCCGGTCGTCGTTCAACAGCCTCCATGGATGAGTGGGCTCGAGAGACACTTCCATGCGCCCTCAACGTAGACCAGGAGGTTCAGCGGGACGGTGATTTCCTCAAGCATTCAGCCAATCGATTGAGGTTCATTCTCTTCCGAGGATCTAGAGCTAGAGCCTAGATGAAGTTGAAGCGGAGTATTCCATTGCACTATACGGTCCCAGTCGAACAATGATCTCGTACATCATCTCAGCGTTCCGATCACTGCAACGCTTCGCCAAAGTAAAATAAAATACGACAATAAAATCACATCCGAGCCGAAAGCTATCCCGAGAGGCTCATGCTAGACGGTCTCGACGCTCGCGCCCTAATCCTCGAACGAACACTGGAATCTCGAGGACCACTTTCTCGGAGCCGAAGACAAGAAGCTGGTCACTCTTCGATGCGGAGCCCCGGATCGGGACTCTCTCCGAATGTTTGCCAGGGCGGATTCATTCAGACCTTCTCTAATGTATTATTCGGGGGGTGGCGTCAAGGGAGAACCACCTGATTGTCGACCCCCTTATCGCAAGAGGCCCGTTCAAGAAATTACGTTACCGTTCTCTTCCCCTGAATATCTCCGCTTTAAGGAGTATTGAAAAAAGAACGAGCGACGGTCCGGTACGATATCAACGCCTCCTAATTATTCGCTCCTTGTGAGGGAGGCTCTATTCAGACACATGCGATACTCAGATCTTGTTCTTTCTTCAGACTTTTTGAAATCGAAGGTGAACCACCGGCAGAACCGGGAAAAATTCGGAGCGGCCTCGAGGGATCGCAGTTTCGACGGCCGGGATTCTCAGCGGGTCAAAGAAGCTAGCCCTTCTCCGTGATACCTCACGAATCTTCATTCCCCATCACTCGGCGGGAAGAAAGTGCATCTCCAGCTTCGTCTCGAATGAAAAACTAATTCACGAAAGTTTCGCGCTGAGATCTTTTATAATCATCCCAAGTCCTGAGTATCTACTCCGACCTCTGACTTCCCGGGAGAGTTGAACTCCAAGGATCACCAAATTCTGTTGACACGGCGCAGAGTGCCCGAGGCTTCCCGTAATGATAGCTCATTTGCTGCATATCCATGGGAGCGACTTTGTACAAGATATTCTGCCGCATCATGAATGCTGGAGTGGTGCACCTCAGATTTACCTCGCTCCCCATGCGAGGTGGGATCTCGCAAGTACTTCGAGTGACGTCACCACCCACTATTTCTTGAAAGAATCGCTGGAACGTAGGCGACCTACGCTTCGCATAATTTATTTCCCGCCCCGCATCAGACTCCTCTACTATGCTCCCTCCTGAGTCTGAAGCGGATCACATGGGCCGTCTCTTTTCATCCAACTCGGCCGGTATCGGTAGACAGCGAAATCTTATCATCGATTAGGTCTGATCACTCGGAATGGATCTATCACAATCATCGGATTTGAATGAGTTTTGAAACGAGAGCGTCCATCCTGTGGTCTGAACCGACAGCGTCTGACACGTGATTATAGCCGTCTTCCTTCAAGCATTGCACTAATTCCTTTTTTATGGTCTCAACGATTGGGGGGCCCCTGAAGTATGAGAGTCGGTCGTTGAAAGAAATCGTTTCACTTCCCCTTCCTTGAATGCGACGAAGTCTCTCCTCGGTCGACTTACCTGTACACAATCGAGCTATAGATTTGAACCATGCTCGCACCGGCCTTGATCTTCTCATAAGCATCTTCCCCGGAGAAAATCCCCCCGACTCCGATAATGGGTACCTGAGATTAGATAGGGTCATGTGAGCCCTCTTGGAGGGTGTGGGGAGGTCTGGAAATTCTGCATTCATCGATTCTTTGAGCTCCTGTGACTTGCTCGTTAATTCCTCGATTCCCCGAATATCGGTCCACCGATCATCGTTTCCCCCAACATTCGCAAGCTGGTTCGGCGTTGGCGCTCGGAGGCTGTCCGAGCTCCAGGCTGCAGCATCCGTGGTCTGCGTGTGTCGTACTACAGATTTGCCTCAAAAAAGCCTCAATGCCTTATAAGCATCGCCGGTCCACGGACGAAACACTGAGTTCCAGAGAGCCCTGGCGACGGAGATCGCTCCTATGGACGGTACAGGAGCGTTTTCGCCGACAGAATGTTCGCTCGAGACTTTCGTGGTATGTTGCATCATCTCTCAAGAGCATCGTGAGACTGGGACTGCTGGAATGTGCTCGGAGTGACGCCGCCAAACGAGCGGGCGAATTTTCGTGGAAACGATCATTGGAGACTCGGTATTCGGGGAAACGACAATAATCGAGGTAGAACCACTTACTCTGCCACCGGTCAGGATGTACATATCTGAAATCGCAAGCGTTGACAGCCCTCGGAGAGGACGGCCGCTCAGACCCCCAGTTTCCGATTTATTTTCAGAAGTGAGCGTGGCGGGCCTCGATACGGTGGTGTTCGATATAATCAGACCGTCAACGCGGCTCCTGAGGGTGAGAATAAAACAGAAATCATCGTACAAGCGATCGAAAAGACGTATATGCCCCCCGTCAGAATTTAGAAAACGAGATCTCGAGTCGGGGGAAACGGTCTCAACCTGTTGAACTGACCCTCTCGATTGGATGACTTCTGCGATATCCTTTTTATCCTGTTCCAAGAGATCCGGAGCGATTTTCAGCAGAACGGGGACTCTCAGCCCCAGCTCGTCTCGCACTGATATCACCTTCAAAGTGAAGACGTCTAAAGTTGGTACGACCATGAATAATGATCAATCACGGCGACGACACTGAACAGTTCCAAGGGGGAAGTCCGCTACTCGCCTTCGTTAATAATTGTTCGAGCTCTCTTTTACTCTGCAGAGCTCGCAGTCCAGGCGTGTTCGGCGAGGAAATGTTTATGACAATGTAATCGGCCTTCTTGCCGAATTTTGCGATGCCTGCAAACGACACGGAACGGGTTGAACATGGTAAGGGCTCTCTGCTGATCCCGATGAGGGAGCTCAGATCATGCGAGGGAAACCTTCGACCCACCTCGACAATAATCGGCCGCTGCGTCGTCACTCGTTTTATTCTTCCCCAAATTGAAGCCCAGCCTGCCGCCAGCGGGCAGATTCATGTCACGCGTAACATTGTCGAGAACGGCATCGTGGCCGTCACTGTTGAAGCCATATCTACAACAGGATGAAGGGTTCCGTCAAGACGCTCCTACATGATGATGAGGGCTGTCCCGGGTTCGAGGCTCCCATACGCACCTGTTTATTATTCCTTGGTCTCCCCGAAGTCTAAAAACTCGGGGTTTGTCATTTCCAGGTTGACTTTCCGGCGTCACGGAGCCTACCTGCGGAGTACGAGTTGAAAGTTTTAAGAGTCCAAGGAAAGAAATTCGTGAAGTGAGCGCGTTTCCAATGCTGGATGAAGGGAGCAGCCAAGGATTTCACCGTACCTCGACGAAACCGAAACCCCAATCGAATAGTCCTTGTACAGCTTCTCCATCCTTATCGAAACCAGCAGCAAGACCGACGCAATTACGGAACTTCTTCCCGAAAATCTCGGTTTTCTGAAAGGATCAAATATCATGAATTGCGCTGGATCCGATCGAATCGATGACGGACCGATCGGATCATGCCCTATCGGATATTCGAAACCGGCTCAGTCTCCCTTTGATAGATACCAACCAGCTCAGAGTATTCTGTGTTACGATTAGGCAGCACGCGGTACTTCGCCAGGAGGACTCCGGCTCGATGAGCGTTTTCAGGGTTCAGAGCAAGGTGTACGCCTCTCATCAGATACTCATCGAAGAATCGCTGATCCCCTTTGAAGAAAGAGAATGCAGAGAAAGCCCCGGCTCCACCGAGCGCGATGAGGCCCAGAGATTTCAATTTTTGCGCCGCCTGAAACCGATTGTTCGCAAAACAAAGAGTCAATTCTTGAGATGTTTCCTTGGTTTCCCCTCTCTATCGAAGTGCACGACGGGGCTTCCGGAAAACGTCGCACAATCCCGAAATAGAAGCACTCTGTCGTCCTTAGTCGTGGTGTCAGGATTTCCCTCCGAGGAATTGATTTCCCATTCCAGATCCGCTATACGCAACCGTGGAGGCTAATGGAGTTTCGTCTGCGAGACTTCCAGATTTTCCATCGTCAACTCACAGTTCGGCTCGCTCGCGAGGCCATTTCCCCGTGGGAATCGACGGCTTCCTGTCACAAGTCAAGGTGAAGTCGAAGATTACGTTCAGAGTCCGTGTTCGACCTCGCGCGATGTAGTTGTGCTCGAAACTGGCGCCTGTGTTCGAGGGAGAGGCTGGATGCGGTCTGCTACAAACTGAGCACCCGCGTTCGAAGTCGGGGCGAAGATTACGTCGGGTAGAAACTTTACACCGGTGCTCCGGTTCGACGGCCGGGTTCCCCAAACAATGCTACCCATGGTATACTCCCGATCCCCCGATTTTTCGACCCGCTAATTCAGCGGGATTCCTGAGCCGAGCCAGAGATAGTCGAGAGATGAGAATCGATCGGATTAGATGTAGAATCTCATCTGTACTATCACCGAATTAAAGAAATTTTATTTCGAGAAATTTCATTTAAATTATTTCAAGAAATACTACCAGAAATTTCGGAGCACGAACAACCAACCATATCGAAGGCTGGCATCAGGGTCTTGGCCGAGTGGTTCGGAAGAGCAATGTGAATATCTCCGATATGGTCGAGCATATCCAGGAACAGGAGGCGACGTATTCAGCCAAAATGCTGATGCACGAGATGGGCCAAGCTCCGGGGAGACTGAAGAAAGAATATCAAGTTCTGAACGATAAACTCATCAAATTTGTGGATGAATTAGAATCGGATCAGATCTCCCTGATCACCGCGTGGGCTTCAATCTTTATTCGCAAGCCTGAGACTGAGAGCCGTTGAGGTCCTTGAATCAATTAACTCAACGATACGAATACATAATCCTCGAAGAGAGAGATCCACCGGTAGAATGAATAAAAAACGTGGAACGAGGAAGGTCAGAGACACCCATGGATCCACGATTGAAAGTTATCGGTAGCTCATAGAAGTCTCCGAGATGAGTGATGGGTGGCTAGAAAGGGCGCTCCGCGACCCCGCTCAGATCAGCAGAGTCCTTAAGCGCAAGTTCGAAGCGGAGAAGAAGGTCCTGTAGCTGGGGCGAGGAAGGAAAAGGACCCTCCCGCGGACCGAGGAAGAGACGACCCGCGAGCGACGGATTCCCTGTGGGTGCGGGGGTTGCAGGTCGAGCACACAAACGGATGAGGATTGTCAGGGAGGCCACAATCGCATGACGGAAGGGAGTTGTCTCTCACGGGACCACCGTTATAACTCGAGGGCATAGTTTCCTGATCGAGAACAGCTCCGAAAGGATCGGGAAAGAGGTCACTGACTGCACTCTGGTCCCGATGGACTGACGGGGAGGAGAGAAGGGAGGTTTGGTAAACTAGAATTTCCACCGAACTGTAGAGCTTATGAGACACGATTCGAGTCAACGAGATCCCACACATTTGTTTATTCCTATATCTACAGCGAGGTTGAAAGTTTCCCTCTTTGTTCCTGGCGACCAGGTGAGTTTTCATCGCGATATTTACAAAGTATAAAAACAATAACAGAGATCAAACGAATCCCTGATCTCGATGCGACGGGTTCGGCGAAAGCTCACCGTACAGAAGAGCTTTTTCCGTCGTCGGAATCGGACTCGCGGGAGGCGGCACATAGCCCCGCTCGTAACACAACGAGTCGTACTCCTCGGCGGAGCACGGCGTGTTGGGCCTTCTAAAATTACACCTGTTATTCCTTCTTTGATGGCCGATGAAGGAAGTCTCTGAGCCCATGTATATTTGACTCGATGAACAGGTGGACGAAGCGCCCGAGCGCATCGGTGGCCCTCGATTGTAATACAGATGGTCATAAGATTGAGTTGTTGCCGGCGATGGCGGCGGATTGTGGGGGTATGTCGAGGGATTCGGATCCGATGAAGCGGCGGACGAGGGCGCAGCTGGGGGGCCTTTCATCACCGGTAGAGGCATCATCGGTGCATTGAGACTCTGTGGTTGGACTTGATAGTGCATCGCGGTATCAAGACCGAAGTCTCGTTTGGGGTCTCTCTTGGCGAAAAACGTTCCGACCCCGATGATGACGATGACTATTACTCCGAAACTGATGAGGAACTTGCTCAGTCTGGAGTCGTCGGCTGGAACGGCAAGAGGATCAATAATCAACTCAAACTCATGTTATCACATCTCATCAGTTCACCAGCACCGTCATCAAGCGCGGGAATCGATCGCGCCAAATTCATGTGGAGAATTTCGAACCTGCTGGCACAGCTATATCCTGACTTTTTGAAACGAGCGTTCTGCAGTTGTCACTGCAGCAAGAGAACTCGTCAGAGCCATCGGCGCATTGTCTGTAGCCATCGCAGACTTTGGAAGAGTCGATGCATCCCGAACGATTATGGCACTGGAACATTCCGTTAGGACAACACGAGATCTCATCAGTATTGTCGGAGCAGTCGGACTCCGCTGCAAAGAGAGAATATGAGATTAGTTCCGCTGCTGAACTTTCATGGGGGTGGAGCAGATCAATGAATTATTTCTCGCTCACCGTTGCAAATCTTCTCGGGTGGGAGGCAGGAGTATTTGCCAGGGGACTTTTGACAACGAAAACTTTTCTGGCAACATTGCTCGTCGTGGCATTCGTGCTCGCAGTCTTTCTCGTCGGATCCGTCGCGACAGTCCGCGTGACCATCGCACACCCTCTTTGAGTGCACACACATGTCTGAAACGATCGAGAACCTCGTTTTTGTCGCTCCTTCAACGAAAAACGAAATAGTGACCACGGTTCCCACGCGAGAAAACGTGTCCGCTCTTAGATCACCAATATTCAAAACCGTTCACCAGATGCCCACTGAATACAATGATGGGAATCCTCTGACCTACCTTTTATGAAAGGAAGCGAACCCAGTTCGCCGTTCGATGAACACTTGAATACGTCCATCAAGGCACAGCATCCGTATTCGTCGCTACCGTCGGAACAATCGAAAGTTCCATCACAGCGAGCCTCGAGCGGGATGCACCGGTTCACTCCGCCTCTGCAGGTCCATTCGGACGGGCTACAGGTGGCGACATCACAAGATCCTTCAGAATGTTCTTCAGGACAGCTGCACGAGAACTTGACCTCCTTCTGGCCGTGGACGAGACACACGTGAGAGCACGAACAATCTTTCGGTTTCACGGCGGGCAGCGTCGAAGGCACAGCGAAAACATCGACGAGAGGGGATCGATGAGACGACAGAAGCTTCTTCTTGCCGTCTCCGTTCTTGTCAAACATGAAAATCTGATGATCCTTCCGATTCAATCCGATGACGGCATCCTCGAAAACCGCTAAGGAATTGACTTCGATATCTTTGAGGAGAGTCACGAAGCGATCCCCGTCCAAATGAACCGATTCGACGCGTCTCGGACCGATGTCTGCCCAGATGACGAGGTCGCTCCGAGTGTCGACGACGAGGTCGGTCGGGGCCTTAATCCTCTCCCTGCCGTTGAAGATCGTCTTCAGGCCGGTTCCGTCGTAACTACAACTCATGATTTTGTTCACCCCCGCTTCCGTGTTCAAGAATACCACCAATGACTTCTGCTGGTGGACAGCGATCAGACGCGGCCGGTCGAGCTTGGCGATGACCCCGAGTTGCTTGAAGTTTCCTTGCGGCATCATGCGTGCGACGTTAATAGTGTTACGATTCCCACAGATCCAAAATAATTGACCAGTGAGGGGATCAAGAGTAAAGTCGATGAGCCGCGATTCGTTCTGGGAGGGTTTGAACGCCGGCTCGAATGCCGAACCGTCGTCTTTGGCACGTAGAATCTGCTCCTGAGTTGGGTCGAGCCAGTAGATGAGACCCGAATAGGGATCGTAGTGCAGAGAACGGACACTCCGAGTGGAGATCGGTAGCAGGATATCGGGACCGTCGGCGTTCAGCGGCAGACGGCCAATAGTGGTTTTTTGAGCGAACAGGATCATGTTGCGAGGTAAAACGCACCTGCCCTCTTGAGCGTCCGGGACGTAGTGGGTGCCACAGGAGCAGTAGAAACTCTTCTCTTTGCTCGGAACAGCAAAACAGAGTGCTTGGCATTCGCCATTCGAGAGAGCACATTGATTCCAGGCCGACGCCGGAGGTTTTTGAAGAACCTCGAGCTCGCACACCCCGCGAGGACCCTGTCGCTGCCAGAGCTGGGTGTTTTGGTCGGGACGGCTGGCAACTGAAGTCCACACGTGCGTCTCATTGGATAGGAACAATCTCCCGTTGTGAACCGCCATTTGTGAGAGTCGAGTCCTGGAACTCGAGTAAACGGCTCGTCTGGACTTGCCGCTGAGTTCCACGCTCTCGATGCTGTCGCCATCGGTCCAGTAGAGTTTCCTGCCGATCGGATCCAGGGATATGGCTTGAGCTTGGGCTTTGATATCAACTAATTTTCCGCGTCTCGAGCCATCCAAACGACTCCTATCGATGCGCGCGGTAGAGTAGATATCGACCCAGTATAGCTGCTTGCCGACAGGATCGACCACGAGCAGAGTGGGCTTCATTTCGACCCAAAGAATGACCTGAAAACCAAAATTCCTCGGAATTGAAGAGACTCCTCTCCTTGTCTCCAATGCAGTCTAGAGTTATGATTGATGCAGGAAGCCTCGAGTCGGTCACTGTACCCCGGCCCATCATCGAGCAGGAATATGGAAAATCAGAAGGGAGTTCGAATCTGCTCTTACCCTTCGATGAGCTCCGTTGAGGCGGCTGACTTCGATTCGCGCAAGCTCCGAATCGGCCCAGTATAAATTCCCAGCGAGCCAGTCCACAGCCAGACCCGAGACTCTTTCCAAACCATTTTTGACCACGGCCTCTACACGAGCTGGGCGCTCGACGAATGTTCGATAGATGATTCTCTTGATCGAATCAACGAAATAGAGACTTTTGTCGGTCCAATAGAACTCTATAGCGCCCACGGCTTGAACTGTAGGGGAAAATTGAGAAAACTCTTAATAATGCTCATTGGAAAACACCCTTTCCCCGGATATAGTCATTGTATGCTCCAGCAGACAGAGAGGGCACTTCGGAACTTACCTTCAGTGATCTGCGATACTTGCTCTCCTAATAGAGTGTTATTTGCTCCGACCAGACCGTGCATCAGCTTCCCATCGGAGGAGGCTGCCAACAGAACAGGCTTCTCAAGTTCGCATGACTTGGCGTCATCCGTGAGTGTCATATTATCGGGACAGGCACACACTTTCCCCCTCGGAGTATTAAGGCAGAAATGGGAGCAGCCCCCACCATTATAGCAAGGGTTATCGCTCCCCGGAGGGGGTTTCTTTATGTTCCCTGCCCAGACTAACATGACATCAGCTAGATTCGCAGCCATGATTTCTCGGGCCCGGGTATCGAGTTTGTAGCGTTCGAGTCGACTGAGTTTCCATTCGCTCCAGTATAGATAGCCGTTGTAGAGCGCCAAGCCGAAAATATGATAAATTTTCTCTAGTAGGACGACTCTTCCCGTTCCGTCCATGTTGGCCTCTTCGATCAGAGCGGTTTTCGCATCTCCCCAGTACATTTTTCCGTTCTCGGTGTCGAGGGCAAGACCGTTCGGCCAACCGTGGGGGTTGTGCACCAGAGTCTCTCGGTTCCGTCCGTCCAGATGGGACCGCTCCACAACACCCAAGCCCCAATCGGTCCAGTATACCCAACCCGCTTTCGAATCCACCGCTATGGCTCTTGGTTTTCGCAGACCCGATGAAATGATTGTCTTTCTGTAGCTGCCGCTCAATGGAGCCACGTGTATCCGGCCGGACTCGGCGTCGGTGAAGTAAATGTTACGCGCGACGGAGTCTATGGCGATTCCATCCGGAAGGAAGATATCTTTGTTGATGATTATCTGCTGCTCGGTCCCGTCGAGTTTCGCACGGTTGATCGTTTTCGTCTCGTCGTCCGACCAGAAGAGGAAGCCCTCGTACGGATCGAAATCCACGGCGATCGCATGCTTGATATCGCGCAGAGGAAGGGCCTGAGAGAGAAATGGAACTTCAGAGAATGCTTGGTTTCTTCCTCGCATACGCGAGTCCGGGCTACTGCCTGTGCATCCCGAACTATCATTTGGTTTTGACAGAAGGGTGCTCTCACCATGATCGTGTGGTCGGATGTGTCCAATGATATTGCTTGGATATCGACTTTTCTAGCAACGAAGAACATGCTCTCGATTTCCTCTTCGCAAGTCTTGTTGTCGGACTGGAGACGGACCCCGGTCGGGCAAGCGCAGGACATCCCCGAAGGATTAGTCGATAGGAGACAAAGAGCGGAACAACCACCTGACGGAACAAAAAAACGAACTTAAAACCCGCCAGATCGGGTTTCGTAGATATCCCCGAGTAGCGCGAGCTGGAATGGATGGAAAAGAATGCGATCGAATTTGCGGCTGACCGCCGATGCTAAATAGAACTGACCATTGTTGTGGTTACATGGAGTGTTGAGATCGCCTCTCTGCTGACTGCTTGCGTAGAACTTTATGTCAAGAGTGGTCAGATGTGTGTCTTGCAGAGCTTTCCGCATCGACCCCAATCCTGGAGACCAGAAGGAAGACCTTCGCTCAGTATACGCTTTGGGGCATCTTCGTTGCTGATTCGCTTATATTTTCTTTTTTCTCAGTGTGGATTGACCACGTGATTAATTATTAATAGTTAACTACGTAATTCCCCATCGGCTCCACGAATCGACGCGGGTCGGACTGCAGGCTCACCTCTCTTCGGTGTAGTGAAGACCGAGTTGTTCTGCCAGTCGGTCCAGTAGATGTAGTTGTCGAGAACGACGACCGAGTACGGATGTCCTTCGTATTTCAGGACATTAGTGCGGTGATTTCCGTCGAAATCCATGGAGAACAAAGCTGATAACCGAGCGTCGCTGTAATAAACCCTTGGCTCGTCCGGATCTACTGCGATGCCGTTGGGCCAGCCGATATCGCCGCTGACGATGACCTTTCGGTCGCTGCCGTCCATCGATGCTCTCTCGAGTTTGGGCTTTTCACCCCAGTCTGTCCAGAACATGATGTTGTTGTTGGCAACGACCGCGATCGACCGTGGGAGGTCCATATCGTTCCTGCAATTCGACCGGGAATAGGGACGATCAGCTTCGCTCTTACGGTTGAGATTCCGCTGAATCTTCAAAATGGCTCGACACGGAAACTCGTGGTCATATGGAAAACTCACCCTATGAGAACTTTGCGAAACCTTCCTTCGACGTCCGCCACTTCGATCCGTCGAAACACCGAGTCGGTCCAATAGAGCTTCATAGTGATCCAATCGCAGGCGATCCCGTCAATCTGATGGATCGGTTCATTCGGTTAGTAATCGCACCGGTACAAATGGAACTCCTTCATTTTGACACTTCCAGAGAAACTCGATACTCACTTGACCAATATTGTTACGGACAATGACTCGTTGGCTGGAGCTAGGCACCGGAGAGTGACCGCCATTCAGCGACGTTGGCATCGGAGCCCGGAGAATCTGTCGTGTCAAGACCTCGGCCCAAAAAAGAGTTCCTGGAATATGTTTCCCCTTATGAAAACACTATAATTGAGAGACATTCGCCCGACCATTCGCGGATCCAGTTGCCATAACCAGGGTGAGGCATTATCATTAGCATCACTAAATCGCTCCGCTGTTTTCTTCTCCCAAAAGACGATTTTCAGGACTTGGCGTCTTGGCAGGAATCCAGAACCAGCTGTGACGAAGAATTTCTCTCCTACAGAATGACTGACGCTATCTTCACGCTTGATCCCGGGGAGTTCACCTCCATTGAGGACAGAGCACAAATACAAACATTGTGCCACAGGGAAAGAGATCTGCCAATATTGAGCGATCTTCCATGAAGATATGCAAGACGATATGCGATGGATTCGCTATGAACATTCGTCACTCAGGAAAGAATGCCGCAAGCTAGCTTGTAGATACGTCCTAACCCAAATGCTGAAAGAGTCGAGCAGGGAATTCCGCTGATGAATCTGTGACGAATTCATCATACCTAGTACCTCGCTATTCTGAGCCTGCATCCGAGTCGTCATAAGGAGATTTGCTTCCGCTGTCAACATCCGATATTCGAGCCAAACCGATGGCCAGCCAACTCCAATGCCAGCGATGGAGGTTCTTCATAAAAGGCCGAGAATTCACGAGAAGGAACACAGCTAAGACAATGTTTATGTTCGAGTTTGGAGAATGCTGCGAGCCCTCCGGGGCGAAGAATTCTCTTTTGATCTTCTTAACAAAGTTTGGGGAGTAGCCATATTCGGAAAATAGATTGAAGCTCGGAGTTTCTTCCAAGGAACTGCAGAATATGTACCTCGATCGACATGAAGCTCATTATTTGTCCAGGAAGAATTCTAGCGCGCAGAGCTTCCGGAGGTAACTCGGTTTTTGAAATCAACACTTGGGGTACTTGCGGCGTCCACAGTTTCTATGCGCTCGGGATGGATTCATTTCTGCGGGTATTCGACATACATACGTACGTACGATCTATTTTTCGTCTGATCGAGTAGCTCACTGTTTCATTCTCGAGCGATAGTTGGGTTTAAGGCAATCAAGAGATGTCGAGAATCTCGTCGTTCTACATACATCAAAGGCGGCTTGATACCACAAAGCCTGACGAATATCAGCTGACATACAAAACCCAGATATGATGCAGAGCTCAAGGCCATAGAGGAGAGGTGCATCTTCGATCGGGGAGAAATTGTCTCTCTAAGGATGGTAACATCTCAGGACCAAGCAAAGCAGACCACTCGGATCGAACTTCAATTAATCCTTCAGA